TGCCAATAGGAAGACATAGGACCCTCCAATATTTGGCTATTGGGTAGCATATTTGTAATTCTTACAGTGTGTAAAGTTGCTCTTATAAAATAGGGGACCAAAAGACAAATGGCTTCAGCTATTCCTCAACCTCTAACTCTGCTTTCCTTTTTCTGAGCAAGTAAAAACACTTCCAAACAAAATTATGAGATGGAACCATACACTCTATAGCAAGGGTTCCCAACCAGGGGTGCATGATGATATTCCAGGGGGTATGAAAACTTGGGTCTAGAAGTTTCAAAATTATAGTGTATATGCATAATTCATTGCCGTTATTTCAAACTTTTGTAAGGGGTACGAGAATATATCAGAAGCGTTCTAAGGATGCGGGGTATAGAAAAGGTTGGGAACCACTGCTCTATAGGATCTAGGAATGCCCTTGAAGTTTTTCTGGCCGCCTTCTGCCACAGATCCCCTCTCACAGACCGGTACGCTCCCACAGAGCGGGCCTCCTCAGGGTGCCGTCGGCCAAGCAGTGTCGGCTGGCGACCCCCAGGGGGAGGGCCTTCTCTGTGGGTGCCCCCACCCTCTGGAACGAACTACCCCCCGAGATCCGGACGATTCCGGACCTCCTACCTTTTCGCCGCGCCCTCNAAGCGGGTCTGGCCTAGGGAGAATTTTTAAATAGGGACAATTTTAATTTAAATCTTAATTAATTATACAGCGGAAAAAAATATTTGGTTTTTAATAGGTTTTTATGGGGGGACGATGTTTTATGTGTTTTAATATGCTGTAAGCCGCCCTGAGTCCTATAGGGAGAAGGGCGGCATATAAATCCATGTAAATAAATAAATAGACCAGGTGAACATATCTCTCACTAAAACAAGCATGGAGCTTTCTCACTGCTCCTCAATTTCACCTTCCAGCTTCAAGATTGTCTCAATATAGTTATTCACCCAGGTGAGGAGTTCAGCCAAGGAGAAGTTATGCCCTCCCAACCAAATCTTAAATTGGGTAATGGAACTCCTACCAGTAAATCTGAGTAGGGCTAAATAAGAAATTCGCCTTCTCCAAAACTTAGCTTTTAAATAAATGTCTCCACTTTTTTCTTTTTAACCAGAATTGTTAAATCACCAAAGTGATTTTGGAGCATGTGGTACTATTTCAAAACCCAACACTGAAATCGTAAAGATTAAAGGATTCTTAATTCAATAAAAGGAACAGAGTAAGGAATTGAGGAAATGAGTTAGCTGCATTAATTTCCATGAGGCTGAGATTTTTATGCTAAGTATATTAATCATTAATTTGTAAACAAACTGAGGAAACAAAGGGAAAGAAGGACATAGAATGGGAGCAAAAATAAAGCAATACAATTGAGTGAAAGATCCTTGATGTATTTTCATATACTTCCTCTGAAAACTTTACTGTTTCCAATTCTCTAAAAGTTTTCAGGACAGAGGGCATGAGTTCAAGCTCAATTAGAGAAATGTTGTCCTTCTCTTAGGAGGATCTCCGGCCAATGCATGCCTGGGCACAGAAACTTCCAATTTTCTGACTTGTGGAATAGGTAATAATCTTAATCTATGTGTAGAGTTGCCAGCTAGCCTGTGGAGTGATACACCTTCTATAATGGACCTGTCAGGCTTGTGAAAATATAGATCATACATAGGACTGTTGCTTTGTATCATGTCATATTCCTATCTGTTTTTTAAAAAAAGACATACAGTAAAATAAATTAGGTGGGCCAGGGAGTCTGATAGGCATCAAAGAAGGCACAGATAAGCACATTGGTATCCCTGAGATGATCCAGGTTTAATAAACCAGATCAATGCCTATAAGCCCATTTGTGACTTGGCGCCTTTTGAACATGCCACAAAGAACTGGTAACTGAGAGACATCAGCAGCAACAATAGCAATAGCAACCCATTTGAGAAATCTTCACCCAATTTGGAAAAAAGCACAAAACACTTGACTACTCCAGAGGTCATTTCCAAGTTGGTGTTTATTATTTCAAAACCTGTTACTGAACTGAAAGAAGAGATAGTATTTGAATTTTTAAAAATGTGTCTTCCCAGTATCCTTTATATATTTTAGAGTATCTTAAATATAATATAACATAGCTTCGTAAATGGATGAGTAGGTGTAGATAGATTCAGTACCTCTTCACACCCACATGTATCTCAACTCAGTATTCCTATTTATGGTAATCCACATTATAGAAAGTGCAGAAAAAAATCAGAAATCGTAAGAAAAAGAAATCGAAGGAAAGAGATGAAAGAGAACAAAATGTACCTATATAGTTAGATTAGCACCATTCATTATGTTTTTTAGTTTTCTTCCAACTTTATAACACATTCATAACACCTTTCTCTTCCTAGGAATTTAATCACTTCCATCTACAATTTTCTAGGTCATATCACCACAATGTACTAGTCACTCACTTTTGTATTTCATCTACATTAATTGCATAACAATTTTCTTCTTTTCCCTTTCTGTTTTTGTTTTAACACTGACACAAACACCTAGACACAGAATCCCCTTATTTTTATGTTTTTCCTGATATATTCAACTCTCCCTTTCATCTAACAAAGTTTGCAAAACATAGCCATATTTTTCATTCCTTGCAACAGAATACCCATTTTCTTTCAATAATTTATAAATTTAAATTTTCCCCATCTTCCTGTGTTTAGTCAATATTCTACCAATTTCATTTATTTGATCTAGGTAAATAGGTTTCTGCTATTTATGCTTTATGTGTAATTCTTCACACCATTTTTCCAGACAAATCTACTTCGGTTTACAATGAAGCTAATCATTCAGGTTCTTGGTGAATAGTATGGCGTCATCTGCATTCCTAGTCAATAGACTTCTAATGTCACCACAAATTTATCCATAATACTTAAATAAACTACAAAGACATCACATGTGTCTTATTTATTCTTCGATACTGAACCATTTGTTAAACATTCCATTAATTTCCATGCATTTATTTCCATTGTATAGCACTCTTACTTACTTCAACTCCAGACTTTCACAGAATATTTTATCATTCAAGCCAATTCCCTTTATCATACATTCTCTAAATGAGTAATCATACCAAACATTTTATTATTTAGTTGATGCTGCTATTTTGTAACTTTAGAGAACTTAAGTGCAAAAAAAAATCAGTGCAATTGTCAATTTCACAGCATTTGGCAGTAGAATAAGACTGATGCTGTGAGTCCAGCTTTGCAGGAAGCAATGAGCTACTTGCACAGGACACAATTATTCTTCATTTTCTTCTCAAAACCTGAAGGCCATAATCATTTCAGATGAACAGAGTCCTGTCTCAATGATGAATGGAAGGATTTGGGATGTAGAAGATTTGTTTTCCCATTCCCATTTTTTTCTCCTGCATTTATAAAAAGCAAAGTACATACAGTACATGCCTAATTCATCTATGGGATAATGAATAGAAGAAAGTTAAGAACTAAGCCCATTGATAGCTGTCAATCAACATATAACAAAAATGAATGGATACTCTTAAGAAAGGTTTCATTATTCATTATGACTGTTTTGATAATTGTCAGTAAAGGTTTCCTTTAGAAGAACTTGGTGGCAGAGACAGAATGGATAGGTGGATAGACAAAGAGACCGAGATTTATGGTCACACAAACTGAAAAGATTCTTTTATTGGGGGGGAAAAAGGGGGTGGGAAAGTTGTGTCAGATATTCTCCTGCCTAAAAGAATAGTGACGCCATTGAGTCCTGTGATAAATCGTGACATTTGTTTGTCTGCTCTGAAAGTCAAGTAACAACGTCATTAAATTCCATGCTACTATAAAAAAAACTTTTTGAAGGCATTCCACAAACAAAGCTTTAAGGCAAAGCATTGCAATGGTGTATCCTTGAAGAAAGCCATTGCATAATATTATGGTTCCCACTGAACTGCCAAAAATAAAGGAATTTATATTTATATAAATGTATATATTACAGTATTCTATTAAAAGGAGAGCTTAGCAACAGTTTACAAAATATGTGACTGCCCTGAGCATTCTTTTCTGTTTTAATAGGAATTATGTGGAAATTAATCATTATTAATACATTTCATTGTATCAGTGTAGAGTACAGTGTAAGGCCCCGAGCCTTCAAATCTCCTTTGCAGAAGGAGAAGACATGGTGAATTAATAGAAAAGAGTTGCTAATTGTGGTAGATACATTATGTAAGCCCAGTCTTGAATTCATGCATGCGGCTCAATTCTCATCAGAATCATTGTTCATCTTTTTTATGCATGGGATTCAAAAAAGATAACATTTGTAGATTTTAATCTATCCCTAGTATCATTTTGTTAGTGATAAACTGTAATGCTGTTGCCCAGAGCTTTGATTTACTGCCTTAGTTTAAAAAGTTTTTTTTCCCCAGTGAAACTGTAGTCTGCATCATGAAGAACAAATTAAATGTAATGCTAACCCTAATCCTAACCCTATTTAATGTCTTTTTCCAAAGGCTCATTCTCTATATGCATCAGGTGATTAAAGCTGTTGACAATGTAGTTTGATAATTTGACAATGATTCTACAGCAAAATAGTTTTCCAGTGCGCTTGCTTACAACTGTCCAATTTTGTAGAACTCATGCTTTGCATTTGTTAGATGTTGTACATATCTCAAATACTGAAACCCTCAGAATTATGAACGGTATCATTTTTTATCCATTTCAAATGTTGTTTTTGTGTGTGTGTTATATCAATATATACATACTCAAAAATTACAGAGGTATTTATTTCCCTGAAAATTGCAAAGATATTTGAATTCTTGAAAATTACCATTTCTAAATTACTTTTGTTATAAAATGCCACTAAGATCATGTATTTTCATGATAGTGTCTTGGTTCACTTTGGTTTTCCCATTCAAAAGGATAAATGTTCAAATGCTTTAAGATCTAATATAAATATCTAAATTTAGTTGCATAATTAGGAACAATAATTATTTTAGTAGGAAAGAAATAATCACCCTTTGCATTTTATATGTCTCTTTTTTGCAGTCTGGAGGTCATGATCAAGAACGAAAAAAAGCAAAACATAGAGGGGATTTATATTCAATACAGACTTCTCTGATTGTAGCTGCACTTAAAAAAATGCTCCCCATTGGGTTGAACATGTGTACCCCTGGAGATCAAGAGCTAATTTCTCTTGCTAAGTCCAGGTACAGCTGTGTAAGTCAACAATTTACTATTATTTATTATAATCTACAAGGTTTCAAATAAAGACATGAAGTATTTGAATCTGAAGTGGACAAAGGTAATTCAGATCTGATGTTGGTATACTCAGTGTCCTTGTTGACAGCTCTTTAAAGACACCACAACTTTTCCTTCTCAGGGAAATATTTGTTCAGGTGTTGCCAAACTCTGTAATAATTCCTTAACACTTAAAACTAAGTGTTTCCTTGAGCCTGAATTCAAGAAATGCTCATTTAAGGAGCTGCCAGTATGTATAACAAGGATTCTCATGATGGGTTTGAAGCATTTTTGCAGTCTTCAGATATGAATACCATATACCTCTAGAAAGATACAAAGCCTGGAAATTATCAAACAAATAAATTTAAGAAAGGCTTATTAGAGAGATGTAGGGAGGATTTGATTTGGTGCCAGTGTCCATTTAGTATATCCAAAATCTGAGACATTTTTTATCTCTATCTATCTATCTATCTATCTATCTATCTATCTATCTATCTATCTATCTATCTATCTATCTATCTATCTATCTATCTATCATCTATCTATTTATCTATCCATCTATCTACTTATAATCTTTTCTCCTTGTGTTATGAAAAGTATCCTCCTATTCAGATACTCAGATTATCTCACAAATATTTTTAAAACATTTCAAAACCTAGCAAAAACACTGAATATTTGTGTATTATTGAACTTTAAACTACACAAGGACACATAGGTACAGGAGGTTTCTTACTACAAAACTTTGCTCTCTTTATTTTTATTTTATATAGAGCATGCAGCTATATCCCAGTAGGTTGTGTTCTGTCTTATTATTGGTCAAAATACATTTGAGAGGACCCAGATCAATATGTCTTTATTTATCTGCAGAAAGACACTGAAGAAGAAGTTAAAGAACATTTACGCAATAACTTGCATTTGCAGGAAAAGGTAACATTCAGAGTGTCAAAAAGTCAGTTAAATATATTTCTGAGGTCAAAAAGCATGTTAATATATTTCATCATTTAATAGAGTAAATCCTATAGCTGAGTTATATTTTTTATGAAGAAATAAATAAATGAGCAACATGTTGATTTCCAGATGGTGAGGTTCAACTTTTACCAGCTCTGGCAGTCATGCCAGGGAATACGTATGTCACTTATAGATAGCAAAACTTGTAGCTAGCTAAAGAGCTTACTGGAAGTTTACTGACACCAAATAGTGTGGCCATAAAGTATACCAATATAGTATCCCCAACATGCTGATTACAAATTTCCCCAAGTTTCCACTGGCAGGCAATGTTAATGTTGAGTCACAGACAGGATAAGTGCAGCACAAAAAAGAAATATATTTATACTACAGCTAATTTCCTCCAGAATTCACTAATGGTGCAACAACAGTTTTTAGACTAGCATAAAAAAATTTCTTTCCTTTAATTTTACTACAAGGGGAAAAACTAAAAACAAGCTGGTAAGTAGAGTGAGAGAATTCCTCCCTAGTACCATAGATGGGAAGAGACCTTTAATAAGAATCCCATTGGACCAAGGTAGGCAGTGTCCAGGAAAAAAGATATTTTATTTATTTATATTTATTTATATTTTGTGTTTCTAGATCTCCCATCTCCCTCAAGGAGGGACTGGAGATTGTCTGGGTACAGTCTACAAAACAATAAAATTGTATATTCATAATACAATAGAGCTCTGCAGCGTCTTCCTGCCTTTGATTTTGTAATGTATCATTGCATTATCATTTAGAAATATCACATTTTCTTTCTCATTCCTCCTAGCCATAAGCATCTAGCTTTCCCCCCTTGCTTCAGTACAGTGGTGCAAAAAATGGTGATAAATTTTATTTAAAGAAGTGTTCTATGTATTTTTAATATTAAATATTCCTAAGAGTGGGTCATATTTTTGGATATGTAGTCAGATGACCCTGCCGTGAAATGGCAGTTGAATCTCTATAAAGATGTCTTGAAAACCGATGAACCTACTGATCCTGAGAAAACTATTGAACGTGTGCAAAGGATCTCAGCAGCTGTCTATCATCTGGAACAGGTAAAAAATATTACTTTGTGTTTAAAAGTGAGACATATGGGTTGTATATCCATGGTTAAATAGAGTAAATAGGAACTCTGCAGACAGATCTTGAACAATGAAAATAGCTGGGCTGGACTGGGCTGAGCATTTTATATCCAGGCAAATTCTGTAGCCCTTAGGGATGTTTCTGGAGGATTAAGAAGGATGTTAAGACAGAGCAGGGAGAATGGATGTTTGCATACTAATACCAGTCCTTGATAGTGTGCAAGGCATATTTGCAAAGTGATTATAAGGTGATCGAAAGGTAAAACATAAAACATTATTATTTTTATGCAACAGTTACGGTCTAATGCAGGGATTGACAATCAAGCTACAAGCTTCCATATACCGCCCAGATACCATAATATTAAAATGATTTAAAGATTTTCTTGAGGAATAGTTAAATTTTTAGGAAACCACCAATCCTAATGAGATTTCCATTTTCTGACTGTCATAGGTTTTAGAACAAAAATTAGTTTTTTGAAATTTCCAATGAAAATTCTACTTTTAACTGGGAAGGCAAGAAATGTTGTTAACATATCATATAATATAAATGTTATTTTTTGTGTCATTGGACCAGATGAGAATGAGTTAAAATATCTTTATTCATAATGTCCATAGGTTGAGCAACCATTAAGATCAAAGAAAGCAGTTTGGTACAAACTCTTGTCTAAACAACGTAAAAGAGCTGTTGTAGCTTGTTTCAGGATGGCACCACTGTATAATCTGCCAAGGTACATATTTTTAAAAAATGTTTATATAGGCTATTTCTGAGTGCTGCTTGCATTGTTGAAAAGCATAATGCTTATCTGATTCTGCAGTGGGAAGGTATGAACCAGAGACAATGTCTTGAAGACTCAGCATACCTTTTTCAAGTCCCTCTTAAAATCTTCTGGGCATGACTATATTTATTTATTTATTAATTGATTACATTTCTATGCCACCCATCTCATTTATATAATGACTGCGGCAACTTTGAGCCTGTCATTCTCTCTCAGCCCTAGGAAGGAGGAAATGGCAAACCACTTCTGAAATCTTGCCAGATAAACTGCAAGGATAGTCCAGTCAGTTGCCAGGAGTCAAATGACTTGAAGTCACCCACACTATTAATTACTTCTATCATTATCAAATGTTTTCAGGGTCTTGCAAATTAGCTTCAATGGCCTTTGGTAAAGTTCCATCATTTTTAACCAATGTGTTTTAGAGAAACTTCTGATTACTGTACTTTAAAACAACTGAGTTGAGCTTTATTATGTGAATTACCTAGTTATTCAATGCTTTGGGAGATCTTCTCCCAGATACATAAATCTAACCCACTCCAATCTAGATTGGGAACATGGAAAAAAGAACTGTGTATTTAAATACAGTATTTTTTCTATGCAATTAACATCACTCATTTAAGGATTTGGTACAACATTAAAAAACAACAACATTACTTTCTAATGTATATCAATTGTATGTTCAAAGTTCATAGATGCATAGCTTCACCAACATTTGGCAGTTCCAACCTTTCATCTCTTTCATTCAGCACTCACTTACTGTAGGTATATGGAACAGCAGTGCCTTTGCTTGCAATGGAAACTATATCCACGAATCAAACAAAATAATTGTACAGATGCTACAGAACATGCACAAAACTAGCTATGTATGTTTTTGGCATCAGGAGAATAGGAGAGGCGGTGAAAGAAGAGCGGAAGAAGGCTTAACATTGTTGTGGGGAGATTTTCTCTCTCCCACATATGCAGTTTTGTAAAGATGTATTGTTCCCGAGGTTCTTTGAAGAGATTACTGGATATTTTATTTTGAATAACCATGATTGTTTGCATATGCTATGCAATTAGCATTCTTTGAACACAATTGCCAACATGCTTCTTATATGCAAATCTAAGTTTCTGGCATTTTCCTTTTTTTAACTTGTAACTTATTTGAAACAAATGGGAATTCAAAATGTGATAATTAATTTTAAAAAATCTGAAGATTTTATACTCCACTCCTATACACTAGGACAGTGTTTCTCAACCTTGACAATTTTAAGGCATGTGGACTTCAACTCCCAGAATTCCACAGCCAGCACTGGCTGTGGAATTCTGGGAGTTGAAGTCCACATGCCTTAAAATTGTCAAGGTTGAGAAACACTGCACTAGGAGTTTTGGAGGAAGGCAGTCCTTTCAGATATAATTGCATGATCTTCTTGGCTGAAAATTCAATGTTCTTCACAATTTGGAATTTCTCCTGCCATTTAGGTCCTTTTAGTTTTCCTTTCCAACAGCTACATTTGTAATAAACTTGTGAGCCTATTTTCTAGTACATATGCATAGTAATTATCTCAAGTTACTAAGTAATGTAATTCTTCATATCAAATTATACCTAGTTGGGTTGGGAAATAAGAGAAGATAAGCATATCTGCAGAAGCAAGCTTTCTATGTTGTGGTCATTTGTCCTCTCCCTCTGGCTTTATTCTTTTTTTAAATTTATTTATCAAATTGATATGTTGCCCATCTCACATAAGGTGACTTTCAGCAGTGCATAATAAAATAATGAATAATTGAGGTTGGTATATGAGGGAAATTTAGTCACTCCAAGTCAGGTATGGATCAAAAGAGCCCTTAGCATAACAGAAATTCATGAAAGGAATGCCTTCCCCTACTCAGCTGTCTTTTGTTAATTGGAGACATCTCCACTGTAAGGGAAGAAGACTTCTGTGAAATCCAATACTTGACAATCCAAGGAGCTTTTTGTCTGCTCTTTAAAAGGCTGTTTACATGAACAGAGGGAAACAATCATTCTCAACAACTTTATTTTTGTCTTTTGTTTAAAAAATCCCTCCCTCCCTCCTTCCTTCCTTCCTTCCTTCCTTCCCTTCCTTCCTTCCTTCCTTCCTTCCTTCCTTCCTTCCTTCCTTCCTCCCTCCCTCCCTCCCTCCCTCCCTCCCTTCTAATAGACCATAGGTGAGCCAGTAGTGTGCTGTAGCTGCCAAAAGAATCAATGTAGTTTTAGGCTGCATCAACAGAGGTGTAATGGTAGGATCCCAAGAAGCTCTATACTACACTGATCAGATCATATCCAGAATACATGCCCAGTTATAGTCTCCACAACTGTTGGCACCGGAGTATCCGTTGCTAAAAAAAGGCAGTTGATAAATGAGTTGCACCTGATTTTACAACCTTTTTCACTATGGTTGTCAATCAAATCACTGCAGTTGTTAAGTGAAGCATGCATTCATTAAGCGAATTTGGTTTCCTCCACTGATTTTGCTTGTTGAAAGCCAGCTAGGAAGTTTGCAAATGCAACCACAGAGATGCTGCAACCATTGTAAATACATGCCAGTTGCCAAGTTTCTAAATTTTGATCATATGACTTTGGAGATGCTGTCAAGATTGCAAGTATGAGGACTGGTTATAAGTCACTTTTATTTTTAGTGCTTAAGTTACAACACTTGTAACTTTGAATGGTAGTTAAATGAATGGTTGTAAGTTGAGGACTACCTATAGTTAAAGGAACTTGGTTTAAATAAAATGAACTCTAAAGGGGGCATGATTGTGGCCTTCCAATATTTTAAGGATGTGACAGAGCAGATTGCATGGCTATATTCTCCATAGTACCTGAGGGTAACGAAACAAACCAATGAATGGAAGCTTTATAGAGGAAGATTTATATAAACTTGAAATAAGGAGAAATTTTCTGACTATGGGAGCTTGTAAACAGTAGACAATATGTGCCAAGATGGTATGAAGATTCCTACATTGGGCACTGTACTAAAGACTTACATAGAAAGAATTCCATGCTGTGCAGACTTATTAATTATGGAATAACATAAGATACGAATCAAACCATTATTGCATTTTAGAGAAACCATAGTTTAAAAATCTTGGCTTAAAGTTATAAGAGAAGCGGATGGTAAACCCTATTGATAAGAACATCATGATCAGACAAAGTATAAAGAAATGGCATAATTAGGCTTACGTTTTACACTGGTTATATTAAAAAAAAGTAAAATAATCAATAAAGGTGTGAAATTGATACTTCATGTTTTCAGTTCATTTGCATTCAATGGACAGCATAGTGGTAAGGAGTCAATTTAGAATTGCATCAAAGTAAAGTATGCTTTCCCCCCAACTGTCTTGATTGAAAAGAATAGAAAATCAAGGGCTTTCATCTATAGGAAATTGAATTCTAAAGTGTTCAGTAAAATATGAGCATATCACTAACCTTTTCATGTTTTTGATATCTATCTGGTACAGCTTATTAAAACAATATTTGTCATTAATGTTATTTAAATTTTGCTTAACATTCTTTAATTTTAATACTTTTTGAATTGAATTGTACAGAATCTATAGGCTTTACTAATTGGTAACTTTCTAAGCTTTTTATTTTATTCTGCTTTCCTTCTGGATTTCATTTTCACCCCTACTCCTAGGCACCGTTCTGTTAACCTGTTCCTTCATGGTTATCAGAAATACTGGATAGAAACAGAGGAATATTCCTTTGAGGAGAGACTAGTTCAGGATTTGGCTGTAAGTATAGATATAATTGGGCTGAGTCCACAATGCCTTCTTGCTTACACCTATAAACACTTTCATATATACCATCCTGAGTGGTCCAACTGTATTTTATACCATGGTATGAACAGTGTATCAAATCTTTATTTTGTTACAGTATATATTTGGACTGTTTTCTTTTTAAACTGATTAATTAAGCAGTAATTTATAGAATTATTACTTTCTGTATGTGAAACGATAAGTTCGCCCTACTTGCCAATTATATTTACTTTGCAAGACAGCAACATCCAACAGTATAGAAGAGACTAATAGATTTATGAGTTAATGTCTTTATGTTCCTTAAAATGCATTTGCATCATTGATGCAGTATTTCAACTAACCTGACATAGGCTAATTCTACATTGGTATTCAATGGAGAATTACCATGTCTCTTTCAATTACATTTCACAGAAGGTGGCAGATCACCCATTTATACTTCTGGGTTTCTCAGTGTTCTCTCAATGTTTTTAAGAAGATGATCCCTGCACAAGTAGACCTCTTTGATAGTCTTTGGTAATATTTTTAAAGGGCAAAGGTTTCTTTCTTTTTTCTTTTTACCTAAATGTATTGAACAGATGGACAGATTATTCACTTAAATATAGCTATTACTTTTTTAAATATAAAATTGTGGAAATCTCTGAGAAAGACAAAGTGAGAATTTTCTAAGCTGCTTCTGTGCTAGTCCATTGCAGCATAAGGAACAATGAATCATATGGTAACTTAGCAACGAAAACATCTATTACCCCATCAACACAATAATCCGATTATTATTCTCATTCATCAGATGGTAATATTTAGTTGAGAATATTATTGCAGCGAGGTGTATAGCTGGTAAATGGTATATAACTACACCTAGCTCTCTTTAGAGAGTTTGCTTTGATATTGTTAATTTGTTATAAAACATATTGAATTTCCTATGATGGAGATTATACAGTTGTGTTCTGCTGTGATTAAGCAGATATACATAAAACTTTGGTCAAGGGCATGCGAAGGAAGGAAGGAAGGAAGGAAGGAAGGAAGGAAGGAAGGAAGGAAGGAAGGAAGGAAGGAAGGAAGGAAGGAAGGAAGGAAGGAAGGAAGGAAGGAAGGAAAAAAAGTGGGCTTTATTTATCTGTTATATACTATGTCTTGAATATAGTCATTCAAACTGAAAGAACTCTAATTCCCAGGGTAAGGGAGAAGAATGCCAATCACAGATATGAATTGCTTCCTTTGTTGCCAATTCCAGATGATTCGATGGTGTTAATACAGCAGTTTCCAATCCTTGTTGCAGAGGCAAGCATGAAGATTCTAAAGTGTAGTGAGCATAGGGAATGTTCATGAAGGACAGGAGAATGAGCTGCCACCAAGACAATGATCAAGCAATCATAGCTTGGGCCTATTCCAAGAAACAAATTTCTTAAACATTTCAGACCTGCCCCTTCCTGGTTTACACAAAAATGAAGTGAGGGAGGGGGAAAGCACATTCAGATTTGCAAAATTCTATTACTTTAGCTGTACAATAAAAGTAGCACAGGTCTATATGGCATTGGTTTCTTACTCTGATCTATCTTATGGGGCTAAAGTCACTAAATACACATGACGTGCTGACCTATAGTGGGCAGGTCTAGAAGAATCTAAATAATCAGACAAACCAAATCTGACTTCAGGTAATAAACTAGATCTGTTTCTAGAAAAAAAATAATCTGATTTTTAATTAGGCTCAAGATTTGTCCATTACAGATTCTGGTTGTGCAATCCTATACAATTTTATTTATAAGTAAACACAAATCAGTCCAAAGGTAATTAAATGTGTGAACATTTTACTATTAAAATACTGGTTTTTATATAAGAAAAGGTGTTGCATAATTGAATCTTCCAGCTAAAATATCAATATGAAAATATTAAAATATAAAATATTAAAATATGGAAATGATAGTTATCCCACTTTTTTTCTCTGCTGTTACATACTTTTTATGTATAAAATTCCAATGTGATGTTTGCACAGACTCCACCCAAAACAACTGAAGAGGAGGAAGAAGAGGATGAAAAACATCCAGATCCTCTACACCAGATTATTCTTCATTTCAGTCGGAGTGCTCTCACTGAAAGAAGGTAACTAACTTCCTACTTCCCTCCTTTCCTTCCTGCCTTTCTTATGCTACCCAACTCCATAAAGAACAACATTAAAAATAATGACATACAATGAATTTGACAAAAGAAACGGCAAGGAATAACTAGAAAGTAATTACAAGATGGTGATGCATACAACATATTATTTTTAAAGATGCTGAGAAATACTAAGTTGGACATGGCATCTGTTCACATGATCATTTTAAAATGTTTCCTGGATTTATTTTTTAAGGCAAAGGGGATACTGTGCTATTTAATGCAGCCTTAATCTTAAAGATTAAGGAGCAGAAAGAAAGATAATGTTAAAAGTTGAATACATATGTCTCTTTTGGATTGCACTTGCAAGTTTCCCAAAATCCCTTTAACACAACAACAATAAAACATTTAGAATTAATGAAAGCTTTCTGTTATTGTAGGAACTGATTTTGTATTTGATATGATCAGAGATAATTATCAGCTGGATAGCAAAGCTATGGCTGGAATCTTTGTAACCATTTCCAAGGCATAATAGAAAAAAACGTTCTCATGTGAGATAGATAGATATATTTTTCAGTTGTAAAAGCACTTGGTAAATACGGTATGTGTTTTAATAAAGAATCTGATAGGGAATCTACACCTATAAGCTTATAAGATCGTATCACGTGTCATTGGGTTGTAACAAGATGAAAACTTTCCCTGCTTTAATAAATCCTGGAACTTCAATTCAGTAACTTGTAAAGCCTTTCCAGAAACAAATTTATTTATTTATTTCATACTTTTCTACAGCAAACTAGAAAATGATCCTTTGTACACTGCATATTCAGCAATGATGGCAAAGGTGAGTAATTTAAATATATACCTAAAAACAATTTATATTTAGAATGCCATCTCTGCTTTTTCAGGTACATCTGAAATCTTAAAATAATATTCATCATTTTCTATTTGTTACTGCCATTTTATTGTTACTAATAGATTTTATTAATGATGTTACTAATCCATCGTTTTTAATGATTGTATCAGCAAACCATCAAATATAAACAGCCACAGAAAAAACAAGATAAAGAAAGAGGTAAAACTACCCAACAGCAAATTTTGGAGGAAGAAGAAGTATTCCTAGTAATAAAAGATAAAATTACCTTTGAGTTGAGCTGGATTTCATAGTGTTTTCATGGAGATATTTATAGGTTTCACAGCAGTGAAATATATAGAAGGTGTCTGTCACTGCCTTGTTCAGGGACATCTTTTATTTCCCAGTCTTATCTGCAGCTTGAGATTTTCTAGTCCATTAGTATTTACTGCTGAAAAATAAAGACCAAACTAAAATTTGATAAAATCATTTTCTTCATTAAAGAATTCTTCAACAGTTGCCCTCATGTTGATGAATCTGGCTCTTTTTTTTTTCAAATATAAATTTTTTATTGTTTTCATCATAAAAAAAAACACATCACAGATACATCACAATGTAAAAACCCTACCCCCCACCCCCCACCCGAACTTCCCAAACCTAATCCCAGGATACTATTCAACTAAAAGTAAACTAGTATTAATATCCCTAACTCCACAAAATATTATTCTACATAAGTAAGTGAAATATATATATAAAAGAAAAAAAAAGTTTTTATCTAAAAACCTAAATTATATTCCACCATTCTATGCTTATTTTGAATATAAACAATCCATCTTCTCCATATTGATAAAAATTGTTCATTTGAATGATCCTTCAGATAAGCCGAAATTTTTGCCATTTCAGCAAGATGCGAAACCTTCAATCTCCAGTCCTACATTGTAGGTAAAACTTTACTCTTCCAATTTTGAGCTATCAACAAACGGGCAGCAGTTAAACAATACAACATCAAATTCGTTTCTTTTACATCCAAATTATGTGTAATACCTAGGAGAAACAACTGAGGCAAGAAAAAAATTCTTCTTTTAAAAACTTGCTGTAAATTCCACCATAATTTTATCCAGAAGGCCTTAATAACCTTGCAAGTCGACCACATGTGGAAAAAAGTTGCATCTTGTTGTCCACACCTCCAGCACTTGATGAATCTGGCTCTTGATCTTGTCAATTTAGATCAAAGTTTCTCCTAAATGTAGAGATTTAGAATATTATGGGATCCCAAAGATGCTTTTTCATAAGGCAACTGGACTTTCTTGTTTTTCTTTGAATACGTTTTGCTTCTCATCCAAGAAGCTTCTTCAGCTCTGATTGGATGTTGGAGAATGAAAGGATTTATAGTCCGTGCAGACAGCTGTTCATTTGTATTCTTTTAGTGAGTCGTTTAAAGCTACCTGAAGGCTTATTTGTGTCTTCAGAGTCACCTGAGTAGTGCAAATGGGTGTGGAGCCTTTTTGGAACTGCTGAAAGGACTCTGTTGTAGACTAGAGATAGATGATGTCGGATCCCTCCCCCTCTGTTGAGAGAGGGCTGTTCAATTTTGACATAGATAGCCTCTTTGACCTCTCTTTCAAACCAGCAGTCCTCTCTGTCCAAAATGTGGACTTCACTCTCCTAGAAAGAGTGGCCTTTGTCTTTTAAAGGCAGATGGAGTGCTGATTCTTGTCCTGATGGGTTTGTTCTCCTGTGTTTTGCCATACATTTATGAAGTTATTTTGTTTCCCCAATGTACAGATCTGCACATGGCTCACTGCATTGTACTGCATATACCACGTTGCTCAGTTTGTGTCTGGGTGTTTTATCCTTGGGGTGGACAAGCTTCTGCCTTAGTGTATTCTTAGGTTTGATGTGTGCATGTATGTTGTGTTGGTTGAAGATCCTTCTGAGCTTTTCCGATATTCCTGCAACATATGGAATGACTACGTTGTTTCATTTATTGTTTTCTTCATCTGTTATGGAGATGCTCCTGCTAGGTATTTTTTGAGATTTGATGAAGGTGCACTTGGAATAGCCACATGTTCTGAGGGCTTCCTTGATGTGTTTTATTTCTTTTTCTTTTCCTTCTTTGCTAGTACGCAGGCCTTCAGCTCTGTGGTGTAGAGATAACTCCCATTTTGTGCTCCAGTGGGTGGTGTGAATCAAAATGTAAATATTGATCCGTGTGAGTGGGTTTTCTGTACATTTCAGTGTTAAGGCTTCTGTCTTCCTTAATGTGTATAGTACAGAACACTAGACTATTTTCCTTAACATCTTCATGTGTGAATTTGATGTATTTGTCCACCGAGTTGATATGTTTGGTGAATGCTTCCAATTCCTGTGTTTTGATCTTGACATCATCCACATACCTATACCAATGAGCGGGTGGAATATTATAGGATCTTAATTTCTCTTCTTATTGTACATCTTTGGCACACATAGATATCCCTACCCAACTCTTTCTTCTTTGTTTATTCAAAAAACACTCAACTCTGAACAAAATCATGACCAGATGTGAGCATGTGAAAACATACGAAAAGATGATGTGCTGTTTGCTTCTTTCAACATTCAAATATTTCAATCTTATTCATTATTTTCCCCTATTTAGTAAACATTCCACTAAAGTATGTACATTTATCTACTTGCTCTATCAATTTTTTTGGCATCATTTTCTCTTTGAAACACAATTGTCTTGGTCTTTGAGACATTAATTTGCAAATCCATCCATGAAATGATCAATCCTCTGCTTATAAACTGTGGTTTAAAATGTATTTGACTTGTTTCTGCTTATTCATTATCTGAGGCTGTTTTTGTTTCTAATGAGAAAAGAGCTGTCAGAGTGGACAAGATAATAATGAGGAAGAGGAAGAAGAAGAAAAGGAGAAGACATTTGAAGTTAGTTATTTTCTTTAAAATTAGATGTTTTGTAATTTATATAACTTTTAGAAATGATGTAATCATTTGAGATAGTGTGCCCATTTTATTCAAACTTCATAAGTTAACATAATATTATACATATTCATGATTATTTTTTAAGTTTTTGCCAATCATGTCTATATTTCTTTCTACTTACTTTTTTCTTTCTTCTTTTCACCTTAATTTCTGTCTTTTGTTCCATATTAAAAAAAAAAACAAATGTTGCTTACTGTTCTTTTCAAATTTAATTTTTTCTTTTTTGCAGCATTTATCCCATGCCTATTACTGTATCAATTGTGGGTAAAACTTTTTATAAAAATCTGTTATGGAAATTATTTTAAAAATAAGCCCTTAACAAATGTTGCTGCATTAGAGTGATTATCATGGCTAATTTATTCTTATAATATGTGTTTTAATAGGTTTGTGAAATATTCTTTTAAAAAGTTTATTGTTTTCAAAGTTTTACAGTTTTTTGTACTTATGGAGATACCATAATATGTTAACATGTATCTGTATTCTGGCATTCAGGAAAAAGAAATGGAAAAGCAGAAAACCCTCTATCAGCAATCCCGACTCCATGAACGTGGAGCTGCTGAAATGGTATTGCAGATGATCAGTGCCAGCAAAGGTAATACAGTAAAAATGGAATGATTATTTGATATTTATTTATTGATTTGCATGTATATATTTCATTCTATCTTGGAAAGAAAGTCAGTCAGTCATTAAACAGGTTATAATAAATTCCCTTCTCACCTCTATGGGTGATATACGCCTTCCTCAATTTCAGGTCCTCTGCAGAGGTCAGTGAGTTTGAGGATTCTGCATAGTATCTTAGCTATTCCTAGCACTCATCTTGTTTCCGGATCTGTTGGAGATCCTCTCCCAGTTTAGGAGTCTCACCCTGAGTAGTCCTACCACCACTGGAACCATTTTGGCCTTTACTTTCCACATCCGCTCTAATTCCTACTTCACGCCCTGGTACTTCGCCAGCTTCTATACTCCTTCTTGATGTTGCTGTTACTTGGCAACAATTGGTTATTACCTGCCTATCCCTCTGATTTTAAACTTGATTTTAAGCTTAGAATCTTTTAAAACGATCATTTTTTTTTACCATAATGTAAGTACTGTATTCCTGATTGACAGGTGAAATGGGACCCATGGTAGTTGAAACTCTGAAACTTGGTATTGCTGTTCTAAATGGAGGTAACTCCGTTGTTCAACAGGTAACCACATTCATAGTTATGCAATTGTCTCTGTAGGTGCATATGCTTTTAAGAATTTTAAAGGTGACAACACCAGTTTGTATGCAACTTTACATACGTTTACCTTTATTTATTTGTACTTGCATATATTTTTAGATGAAAAATTTCTGAGCAAATAATGGCCAAATCAAACTATTGTTGCTCTCTGTATAGCACCTGAACCCACTGAGTAATGTCCTTCACTTTCAGGTAACTTTTCAAGTACCCCAAGATAAAATCCATATTTCATGTTTGATCTTCAGCATGGGGTGGTGCTGTGGGCTCAGCAGTTAAGATGCTGGGCTTGTTGGCTGGAAAGCCAGCAACCCAGGTTCGAGACCTGAAAGCCACGTGATGGGGTGAGCTCCTGTCCTCGCCTCAGCTCCTGCCAACCTAGCATTTCGAAAGCATGCAAATGCAAGCAGATAATAGGTGCCACTTTGGTGGGAAGGTATCAGTGCTCCATGATGTCATGCTGGCTACATGACCGTGAAAATGTCTTCCGACAGCGCTGGCTCAATAGCCTTGAAACGGAGATGTGCACCTATAATTGGAAACGACTAGTCAAGTAAATCCACAGGGACTCTTTTACCTTTACTTTACTTCAACATGATTTGGGCCTTCAATAATTTGGAGGCTGTGAATTCATGAACCCCAAACACAGTACTGCTGGGAGACAGGTTAAATTCCCAAGAACCCATTACCTTGGGCTTCAGCTTCTAATGGATTGGTGTAATCTAGCAGCTCAGGCAGGAATAAAGCAGGGAAGATGATGCACAGCTGCAACAAACTTAGCTAATTTTCAATGCCCAACTTCACCCACAAAGTCTCACTTCTAGTTATTTATTATGTAGACCTTTAAAAGCCATGAAGGGCTCTCAGGTTACAACTGCCACCACACTCATCTCTCTACCATGGTTTGGTGCTAGTGCAAATTCAAAACCTGGGTGGGCAGATTTCCAAGATAGGTACTCCTACTTTGGGTCCCCACAGGCTTGGCTACACAAGCCAAGTTAGTAGACTTCTGCATGATCAAATTGTGGATGAGGATGGATTATACATGAACCTAGCATTTAATAGAAAGAGTCACAACTATCAAGGACTTGATCACTTATCCCACAAAAACTTTTATTAAAGACTGGAAGCCTATTATGGACTTTTTGCTAAAAATGAAAAAAAAACCTGTTGATTTATGGATTTGCTGATTAAAATGGTTGAATATAGGCAGAAGAGAATTATGATGTAATTTTAACAAGGAAGGAATGAAAATAAGTTTGTTTCTAACTGGTGTAAAGAAGATTGGAAGTCATTTCTTTGGATGTCTTTTGTTCTTTTTTTCCATTTGTATTTCTTCTCACTTTTTTCTTACCTTTAGTTTTCTAATCTCACACTATATTATTTAATGTTTATCTTCTACTTCTGTGAAAATCCTTAATAAAAAATATATAATAAAAAAAGTAAAAGGATCCAGTCACCAATCCTCAAGGGTGAATATTGAGGGCTGGTGGGTAGAATTTATCACAGTTATCCAAGAAATCAGCCTATGAGTTGCCTCTCTCAGTTTCCTGTGATATCCTCTCTGCCTGTCATAATACTGGTGGCCCCTACCTGACTCTATCTCAGCTGCCCCCATCCCCTCCATTGTTCCAGGCCTTGTTCTAGGACCCACCCACCCCCAATTCCATGCCCATTTCCAGATATCCTCTTAGCACTCAACAGCAAGGGGTACAGCCAAAACAGCCTTCAAGTATATCATTATCCAAGTTCATTACATTACATTATCCAAGTTCCCAAGCCAGGTCCAAAAGTGCCAATATGTTAAGATTGTAACTTACTCTTGTCATCTAACAAAAATATATTCTTGTCATTAAAAAAAACCCTCAGACTGTTTTTAATACATTTTTTTCCAATCTCTAATTCAGAAAATGTTGGATTATTTGAAAGAGAAAAAGGATGCTGGTTTTTTTCAATCTATCTCTGGCTTAATGCAATCTTGCAGGTAAAGACTTTCTGTGCTCAGCTTCATGTATGAATGGAATTTTGACTGATTATGTGCTATCAAGTTGTTGTCAATGACCATATAGATAGATTTTCTCTATGAAGATCTGTTCCTAATTTGACCTTTCATATCTTCAGTGGGATATATTTTTCCAAATTCATGTTTTTTTGAAAACTCTGGGGAAATGTGATAATGTGAACTGAGATGTAATGGATGGATTTTGTTCTGGGGCATGCATTATTTTTCCCTTTAAGTATCTTTACGTTTTCATGCCAGCATTCTTAACAGGTTGTTATTGTTAATAATAACAACAGTTTAAAGAGTAAATCTGTTTATCCAGGAACACCAGATTCTTACTGCCCTTATCATTATTGAAAAAAGGAGAAAGCATTTAGTGGAATAGGTTATTTTTTGTCTTAATTGATATACTGCAGTGATATCAACAGAAAGAATATTGAAAAAACTGGTTTGGGTTTAGCAGGTAATATTGATAGAGAAACATTTAATACTGATTTCAGTGAAACTAACTGTTCATCTTTCAAGTGTATCATTTTTAAATCTTTATAATTCACTTTCTACTGTTTGAATGATTTTTTAAATTATTATTCAATCATATTATTGGATTAAGCAATATTGTCTTTATTGTCTTTTTTTTATAAGTGTTCTTGATTTGAATGCCTTTGAGAGACAAAATAAAGCAGAAGGCCTTGGAATGGTTACCGAAGAAGGAACACGTACGTATAATGAATGAATTCAGATAGATTTACATTTATTTCTTTTTCTTTTTCAGCCCAAATGTTCAGTTCACTTAAAGTCTTTTTACTTAACCTCCTTAAAATGATGTGCTATTAAACTATGCTGTTTCATTTAGTTTCCAAGAAAACATTTAATAAAATATATAATGTAATTATAACTTGCTTATTTTGTATTATTATTATTTTTCTTTGATCCACAGTCATCATACGTGAGCGTGGTATGTTTGGGTTTACAGCTTTTGATGCTATTGTGTGTGGCAAATACAGAAAGAAATCTTCTTTAATTGCATCTTTATAGATATCTTTTAGGTTAACTTTCATGGTCTGCAGATGATTGTGTATGGGGCTTGAAGAAACAATGATGCTTAATTAAAGAAGCGTCTTTCATACCCAAGGCATGGTTTGATAATAACTAACCATTTCCTATTAGATTTTTAGTCCTGTAGTTTAATCATGAATGCTTTGGAGTGCTAAATATTTTAGCTTTGCTTTTTCTGTTTTATAGTTTGCTTTTATCATTTCCCCAAAGTATTTCTTTTTTTTAAGAACGAACTACTGTAAATTAGCTTACAGTATTTGCTTTTTATTAGAATCACTTAGTTTGAAGGATGCTGTTGAAAGACTATTTGTTCTGCATGTTTAGAAACAATTGATTATTGCATAATTCATTGTACTGTATATTTTCAAGGTGAGAAAGTACTACAGAATGATGAGTTTACTAAAGATCTATTTAGATTTTTACAACTGCTGTGTGAAGGTCATAACAATGGTAAGTGATGTACAATATATTTTCAGTAATTTACTGATTGATTTAAATCTTTGGGGAAATAAGTTATTTCAATGTCTTTCATACTTGAATTGATTTTAATTCTTCAACAGTTAATCAGTTTCTTAGATGAGGTGGACTCAGAAATAATTTTTCACATGTATGAGTTCTTTCAAGATACAAATCAAATTGTCATTTTATTAAATTCAAATCTAGTAAGTGAGAAGTTTTGCTATGTAATATGATATGCAATTACTATTTCATATAGCTTTCTTTAAAAAGACTGCACTTCTTTCATAATATAAGACATAATTACTGTGGTATCCATCAGAGGTAGTTATGAAAGCAATTTCCTTTCAAAATATATAATTTTTCATTTTCTAAATGAACAACAACAAAAAGATAAGTAAGAATGTTTTATTTATATAGCACAAATTATTTTACCTTTCAGATTTTCAGAATTACCTGCGAACACAAATGGGCAATACCACAACAGTGAATATTATCATTAGCACAGTTGATTATCTTTTGCGGCTTCAGGTAAGCAGAGAAAATATTCTATATTATATCACTCTGTTTTTAAAATCTTTCTGCCATTACAGGTTTTTGGCTTTCATCATATTTGGTGTCTATTCTTTTTTCTTCTTACAGTTTCATGATGTAGTAATTGTGTCCTCTTTTTCAATTATATTGTATTAATTGTAAGAGAAGCAGCATGCCAACCAATTTGAATAGAAACTGTAAAATCTAAGCTTGGAAAATAAAAACTGGAAGTATATTGATGACTCTTCCTAAATTTAAATTGAGACAAAACATATTGGGATTTAAATGTTTGATTTGAATCACACTCAGGTTTTCCTTTTCCTACTTGTACCTGTGAAGCTGAAATATTTGATGTCTGAGGAAAAAAATGATTTTAAAAATACTGATTTACTTTATGCTTGCAGACACTGTGAGGGGATTAAAAATGAATGCTGTTTTTCTGAGAAAACAAATAGGCTGCTGCTTGGTTTTCTTTACTGCTGTGACAAAGACACTGATGTTTAGGCATTTAGGCCAACTTCATGGAGGTACTTAAAGATCAGTCCAGTGGTGGGATTCAGCCAGTTCGCACCAGTTCGGCAGAACCGGTAACTAATTTTTTGTTGCCCAGGCCCAGAATGGACTTCCGGAAGCGGCATCCACACAGAGAACCGGTTGTTCACATATTTGATCCACTGGATCAGTCCAAAGAAGCTTGCAAAACTAAAAAGAAGGGATTTGTTTGGACAGGTTCATTGGGAATTTGTCAGCTGGTTCCATCCAATTTCCATGTGAACATGAATGTGAAACCAAAATTAACCATCCGGGAATATCAGATACAAGATCCTGACTCAAGAGACAGGATATTTAAGTAAAGCAGCCTTTTCTAACCAGGCACAAAAGACTTGAACTTTCATAATTTCACAGCCAGCTTTATCACTGCTATGAATTCTGGGAATTAAAGTCAGTTTATTTAGTGCACCCAGGGTTGGAAAAGCTGAAGCAGGCATTTAAGTTGGCTTCATGCAGTCATGCATTAACCATAATTATTGTAGTCCCAAAGGAGCTGAAGAAGCTTCTTAGATGAGAAGCAAAATGTCTTCAAAGGAAACAAGAAAGTCCAGTTGCTTTTTGAAAAAGCACCTTTGGGACAACCATGACCTGAATGACTGAGAATCTCCATAGACATAATTATTGTAGATTTTTTTAATCTACATTTTAAAAGTTAGTTTGTGAGTTAGTAATTCTTCTAATTAGATGATCAGAAGTTAAACTCTTTTTAGATTGGAATCCTGGTTTTGGAGCATTTTTTCCACTGGTTTTACTTGATGCTGACCTCAATATCTTTTTAGTTCCAGGAGAAAATTCTGTTCTACAAGAATTTATAACGAACAGTATAGATCTGCTTATTGTGTCTTACTTTGTATGGGGTGTGTGTGTATATTTGGGGTTAAGAGTGTTTTGTTTCAAGCTATTTTAAATGCATATTGTGGTATACCACAATTTGTTACATTGTTTAACATAATTGAAAACTAAACCTAATTGAAAATCTGGCGGCGGCCTGGGAGGTGGCCGCTGCCGCAGCATTGGACCGAGTCGTGCCTTTGCGGCCTCTGACCCGGCGCAGATCTCAACTGGCTCCCTGGTTTACCGAGGATCTGAGAGAGATGAAGCGCCGGAAAAGACGCCTAGAGAGCAGTTGGAGGGCGAGCCGAACCAAATCCGATCGAGCACAGGCAAGGATACAGGTTAGATCCTACCTAGTGGCGATGAGGATAGCGAGGTCTAACTACTACTCCACCCTCATTGCGTCATCAGATAATCGCCCGGCCACCCTCTTCAGGGTGACCCGCTCTCTCCTTCAGTTGAGGGGGGGAGAGGATCCCCTGGAGGGGAGGGCCGAGGATTTTGCTCAATATCTGTATGACAAAGTCGCTCGGATTCGAGAAGGTCTTGACTCTGACTGGGTGGCCCCGG